AGGCTCAGGGGGTGGAGCTCTAGGCTCAGGGCAGAGGTCTGGATTCTGCTGTATGCCAGGTATTATTACCTGGGTAACTCCTCCCCTTTGGGCTTGTTTCCTCATCTGGGAAGGGGAGAAGTCATTTCCTGGTTCCAAGAAATTGCACTGCTGTGCACTGTGCTTTCCAGACGGAGAAGGGCAGTGGACGATGTCGTCGGTCACTCCGTGTCCCCCTCTCCCCTCAGGTTCAGGGCAGGGTCCTGCTGCTGACCATCTGTGCAGCCGGCATTGGAGGGACTTTTCAGTTTGGCTACAACCTCTCCATCATCAACGCCCCGACCTTGGTAGGTACCCTCCATGCCCACTGTCACCGGCTGAGTGGGGACTGACAGCTGCCCACTGCAGGGCTGCAGCCAAGCGTCCACTCGGGGGCACTTTGTCCCCCAAGTCCTCCTCCACCGGGGCAGCTAGCAGGTTCCAGGCAGGCTGTGTATCCTTTGCAACCCCTCATGTCCTTTGTCCTCGATTTCAGCAATGACTCTGCCACCCACCCAGGAACCTGGGGGTGGTCTTGATTCTTCCCCACTTACAGCAGATACCACAGCCTTTCTAACTGCCTCAGGAATTCAGCCGTTTCCGGCACTGTCTCTGCCCTAGCCCTCCTTCAGGCCCCATCTGACCAGTGGCTCCCTGCCCCCCACTTCTCCCCTCCTAAGTCCCCTCCATCTGAGCCAGCCACTCCTCTGCTCAGAGACAGGGGCTCCCCAGTACCTGGAGGACTATAGACAGACTCACTCACCTGAGTTCCAGGCCTCCTGGGATCACCTGTCCACCTGTCTCCCACCTTCACGCCCCAACCCTGCTACCCAGGCAGGTTAAGTGCAGTTCCACAGACACTCAAGACTCCATCCTTCCACTAAGCCATGGCAAGCTCCCTTGGCCCCACCTGCAGAAGCTCTTCATAAACCAGAAAACCAAACCCACTGCCATCAAGTCAGTTCCGACTTGTGAAGCCTTCCTTGAGCCTTCCTCTAGCAAATGGGAGTATCTGTACTGCAGCTGTGGGGTGGCCACCATCCCTGCAGGTCGTGTGTGGGTTAGTTTGCCCCGTCTCTGCTGCCGAGGTCTCTCGGTGGCTGAGTCATCTTGGGCCCCCTGGCACTAGCCTGGCCAGTGTACAGTGAGTGCCTGTGGAAGCATTCCTCTTTGGTCACAATGGTACAAAACGACCAGAACTGGCTTCTGTCGGAGACATGTGCCTGTCGCTAGCTGGGGTGGATGTTTGGGCAGAGCTGCAGGAATCAGGCCCCAGGACAGGACAGGTGACTCTCCCCCCATCTCACCCCATCCTCTACCCAGTGGGCAAATGAGTTGCTGTCCCCAAGTTCATTTCCTGCCAGCTGAGTGCCCCAAACAAGTCTTCCCTGTTAGCTCCCACTGAAAACTCAGGGAAGAATCTGATTGGCTGCTTTAGATCACATGCCCACCCCTAGACCAACCGTGGCCAGAGGATGGAGTCTAACGATTGGCCAGGTCTGGGTCAGGTGACCACTGGGTCCGTGGTCATTGCAAGTGGGAGAGAATGTCCCCTAAAGGGAAGTGTACCAGCGGAAGATGGGGGGTGGGAGTGTGTGCGGGGCAGAAACTGTAGTCTCCACCCAGCCCCTGAAAAAGGATGAAAGGAAGGGATTCAGAAAGGGCGGTCCAGGCTGGCGGCGCGCATCTGTTTATTCATCCTTTGAACAAGTGCTCCGGTGACCGCTTAGTGCAGACCCACAGGCTGGAGAGAGTCCTTGGCGGTAGGGCACCCTCAGGCCGGGCCTCCCCTGCACCATCCCAGCCCACATACACACATTGCACACACACACGCACACACACCACCCTCAGGGCAGGCCTCCCCTGGCCCATCCCAGCCTCTGCACATAGGCCTTTCTTGAGTCACTTTTGTGGGTTCCACCCAAGGTTGTGTATGTGGGCTGGTCCCAGAGTGGCCTGCTGGGCGCTGGGCTGTCAGGTGATGCCCAAGCTGCCATGAACAGGGTGTGGTAGTGATGTTGTGTGTCAGCTTGGCTGGGCCTGGCTGAGTGGCTGGGCAGCTGGTGATAGTTATTCCCCATGATGAGACTGGCAGTCAACTAGCACAAGCAGCTGAGTAGCTGCCTTTAGGTATGTGGTCTGTTTCCTGTATATAAGGAGAAGTTTTGAGAATGGTTTCTAGCCTATGGCAAGCTTGGACCCTGCATGTAGCTGTGTCGTTGCTCAGTAGCCTGCTATGCTCTGCCGACCTTGGGACTTACAGTGGACTTAAGTTAATGGCCTGCCCTGTGGTTTGGTAACATCGGGACTGTGCCTTTTGACTTGTCAACCTTGGGGCTTCTCAGCCTTGGCAGCTAGCATCTGTCTGAGTGAAGAAACGCCTCCCGCTCCAGCCGGAGGCTGGAGGCAGAGCTGGACCCCAAGGTGGAGGGGCTTTCACCCAGCCCCTAGAGGCCGGCACTTTGAACTTGGACTTAAAGCCTCCAACTGTAAGAATAAACTCCTGTGTGTTAAGGCTGTCCCATCTGTGGTACATTCCTGTCAGAGCGGCACCAGGGAGGCAGGGCACACGGAGAACCACCGACAGTGGAAGCCACTGCCCTTCCTCACACCTTGTTGGGAGGCCCGAGACCATCCAACACGGACATGTCCTCTCTGACCAAGGGGAGGGTCCTGGTGTTCCCCTGAAACTGTTCCACTTGTTACAGGAGGGGGCCCTGGGAAACCCAAATGGGGTCTTGTCTTCTGGTGAGAAAGAA